CGCGTACGCGGGGGAGCAGCTGGACCCCACGGGACGCGTGGTGAGCTCTGGTTGGAGGGAAGCTGGGTCCCACGGCCTGCAGTGCGGCAGCGGTCGACACGTGGCGCTGGGCTGGCTCGCGGCTTCTTGGCTCGGCTGATGGGCTTTGGGCCGAATTGGGCTTTTCTTGGGCTCAACTTTTGGGTTTTGCTTGGTAAACTAGCCCAAATCCAATTGTTTTCTTCAAAAACCTGAAAAATAAAATAAATCCAATTAAAATTAAATCCTCTAAATTTAGGAATATTTGAAATTAAAATCACAAAATTGATAAAATAGTTTGACAATTATGAACATTAAAAGTGTAAATTCGTGCACTTATCACAACCCCCAACCAGCTTATTGCTAGTATCTAGCAATTCAAGCGAAAGAAAAATCATGTCAAGCTGAAAATTTAAACCAAAACCTGCAAAATCACCTAAGCAATCAAACAAAACATTAGTAAGTCATCAGAAAATGCTATCAAAACTACTTCAGTCATAACTCTAGAGTCGTGTGTGTGTGCACCAAACCGTATCCTTCTTACCACATTCCTTAACACAAATAGCATCGAAAAACTCACCAAGGTAAAGTCTCAACTCCATTTACCTCACGGGGAACGGAAATATTTTAATGCAAGGGATTACGCTCATGGAGTTGGAAATGTCACAATTAACGCTCAAGTGAGAGAAGGCAATTTAAGGACAAGCTATTAAACAAACATTGATCAAATGATAAGCAAATCAAATATCTGGAACAATTCATCACTCAAACTGTAAACAAACTTTCAGGATTTCATTCTGGCCAAGAGGAAGATCTCAAAAATAAACAAAGAGCTGAAAATACAGACAAATATACACAAACTTTTTTTTTTTTCGAGGCAAGAGACAACATACATTTGATGAAGCTGATGTAGTAAGGCATTCTTTTGATTGGCTGCTATGCAGCACAAGACGTCAGTGCAACTAAACTACATAAACATTGATGATAAATGATGCTTTTTTTTAATGATAAAATGTAAAAGAAAAATGATAACTATTTACAACACATGGCTCAAATTCTAAAAATTATTCCTAACCAGAATTCATCCCTCAAGCAAATGTCAGAAGTCGAGTAAATGTGCCCCGTTAATGACTCAACCAACTCAAAAGATCAATGAAAGTTCAAAAAGCTGTTTTCTCAACTCTCACACTCACCAAAAATGAAAACCTTAAACTCGGGAATTTTTCTCAACTAAATGTGTCAACAACCCTCTTACCACAAGTTTAGAATGTGCTCAAAAATAACTCTGGAAATCATTTCTTGGTAATTAAGATAGCAAAAACTGACTCAAACCAAAAATTTTGAAATCATACTCAGATAATCTCGCAAAAATTTTGACCCAAAATAACAAGACAAAAATTAATCTCACGCATAATATGCTCACCACCCCCAACCAAAATCAGACAGTGTCCTCAATGTCTAAAAAGATATGCAATACGAAGAAGACAAGGAAAGAGAACACCTGGGTGAAGAACATTGGAAATAAGTCGAGCCGCCTGAACTGATTCTCCAAAATACAAACAAATATAAAAGCACACGAAATCAAAATAAAAGCACACAAAACAAACTAAACGAAACAAAGAAACAAAAATATGTTACAAAAGGGTTAGAAGCAAACTCTTCAAGGTTGGTAAATCGGAGCCTCGAGAATGATCTCTTCAGCTTGGCTCACACGCTCAATGTAATGCTTTAGTCTCTGGCCATTGAC